GTCCTGTATTTTGTTTATGAAAAGAATATAAAGGTGGTAGTGGCCAAACAACTAATCATCAGCTCCCAGTGTGGTGCTGTGGAAAAAAGATCAGTGTAATCCTTGACTGTCTAAACAGAAATGCAGTAAGAATAGGCTTAATGGTCTTAGATTGCAGCAAGGAATGTTTAGGTTGGACATTAGGAAAAACTTCGTAACTGTTAGGGTGGTTAGACACTGAAATAAATTGCCTAGGGAGGTTGTGGAATTTCCATCATTGGAGATATTTAAGAGCAGGTTAGTCAGACGTCTGACAGGGATGGTCTAGATGGTACTTGGTTCCTGCCATGAGGGCAGGGGAATGGCACTTGACCTCTTGCAGTCCCTTCCAGTCCTAGGATTCCAGATTTCTATTAATAGGATGGTGATTGCACCCCTGTACGTGGCATTGGTGGGACAGATACCAGAATACTGCATTCAGTTCTGCTGCCTACATTTAAAAGCAACGTTAAATAATCCAGCACCCCCATTAAAGTCAGAGGAGTTTTGCTTCGCTAGGCACATGATTGGATTTTCAAAACCATCCAGTGTTTGCTTAATGTTAGTTCTCAGATCATGAACATTTGTTCACCTTGATCATTGTCAGCATTTTAAAATCTGCCAGCTTATGTACCTAGTTTGTACCGTATTGACTGGCTTTACCTTGAACTGCTTAAACTTTGCTAACAGGATTGTACAAAACATTAAGTTATGTCCTTTTGGCTGAGCCTTCCCCAAGATGAGCCGAGCACAGGGGCTGTATTATACTGCAAAGGGCTGTGACCCTATCTCTGTGTCTGTGCTGGAGGAGACTGGAGAGTCTGGCTCAGCTGGACAGAGCTGAGAGGTGCCCAGGTGGACAGGTAGGCAGGCTCAGTGGTATTTCAGCACATCAAGTGACAGTTCCAAAGGGGGTCCCAAAGACCAAACCCATTACAGTGGCCTGCTCCTTTCTCCTTATCTCCCATTCTCTGATAACTTGAGACCCTTGCTCATGTTATTTTCTCACTGACCACACCACTGAGGGTCTTGGCCTCGAAAGGAGGGTTTCCTTTCCTTTCCTTTCCTTTCCTTTCCTTTCCATCCCTATTCTATTCTCGCCTACAGATTTGTGCCAGCTGGACAGCTGGGGGGAGCTCGGGGAGTGTGCAGCAGGCTCACTGCAGTTCCCACTGTAACGAAAAGCGAAGGGCAGACTTTTCAAGAGATACATTGTTGAGTTTAAAACCTAATCTGTTAGAATAAAATGAAGGTCTGTCTAAAGACAATAGGAATGTGTTCCGTACCAGGCCACAATTGTGCTTTTATGAGGCCACTATATAGCAGGTATAGCACAGAGTTCTTAGGGAGGCAGCTGGACTTGATTAGGTGGCAGGCATGGTAAGGGACAGGCTGGGGTACAAGCCTGCAGGAGGGAGGGGGTTCAGATGTGGCAGCAGGGCCGAGGTTTGTGTGGCACCTGTGTGTTCGGTATCCCCATTTGCTAGGAGAGTGCAGCTTTCCCCTCTCACTGGAGCATGGGGGCAGGAGGGGTTCCAGGCATGGCGGCAGAGCAGGGCAGGGGCTCAAGCCATGCTTTATTGGGGATGAGCAAATAGAGGCTTTCTGCAGAGGCATTAGCTAATAGCTTCCCCTGCTCCATCCAGGTTGCCATGCACATTATCTGTCTTCTCCAAATCGCACAGAGTGATTGGGAGCAGATGCTGACTGGCCAGAAACCTGTACTTTATGCTGCATTGCTTTGTGCTGCAATGGCACCAGACCACTTACTGCATGCTTAGCATGGCACAAAGGAGGATGGAATAAGGCAGGCCTCCGCAGCAACTTTGTAAGAAGGATGAAAGAATTCCTCTATGAGAGCTTCATGGAGATGTAAAGGGAGGATTCCCGCACTGTGTAAGCACAGTGGACACCACAGATCACACTCAATTGCCTAAACCCACTTTTAGCAAGATAAAAAATGTGAATTCACCTGAGGTGCCTGCCCCCGGGATCAGTGCCCGACTGCAAGAAGTTGTTGGCTCTTGGTGCCATTGCTTGCTCTGTTCACCTGCTGAGCATTCTCCACCTTCTCCTTTCCTCATTCAGGCTGTCCGCTATGCTGGTGCCTGACGCTGCAAGGGGAGTGTCTTGGGGAGAATCCATGAATTGGCTAAAGAAGCTGGTTGGATCTCCCCCCAAAGATCACACACAGCTGCTCATAGAAGCAGCATGTTTGTGTGATGATCTAGACCATCCATTTGCCTCATTTATCTTTTGATATGATTGTCTTAGCGTCTTTATTTTCATTCAGCACTGCTGGGTATCCCTGGCGTATCCTTTCTCCTCCATGCACTTGCTATCTTGACAGATACCTGCATTTTTTTTCTGGTTCATAGTTCTGAGAGAACAGATTTCTCGTCTACACAGCAATGAGGTCCAGTCTCCTGCACGCTCCATAATGTTTGTCTGCAGCCCTGAGAACTCATGGAACTCATAGACAGACGTGCTACTTAGGTGTGCTCGCTGCTCTGAAGTTTGCTTGTCATGTTGGCCACACAAGAAATGAAATTCAAAGTCACATGTAGAGCAGTAGAGTTGACCAGAGTGGTCACAGTGGGACACCTCCCAGAGGCCAAGAACGTTGACTTTCACAGCACTGCACCCACACTACCATAGTCGACCAAGCACCGTTGAACTTTACTCTTCGTGAAAGCAGGAGCACCAAAAACGACTTTAACAGCCCTTACAGTTGATGGAATGGGCTTGGCAGTATGGCCTCATTGTTTAGAAAATTGACCTAAGGCAGCTAAGTTTGACCTAAACGCCTAGCGTAGACCAAGCCTTAGGGATCGGCACTCTAAAGAATTATTCCCATTTTACCACCAGGGCTCACTGAAGTGTTGGGATCTATGCAGAAGTGGTGGGGACAAGTGTCATTTTATTGGATTTTAAAGTGAGCAGACAGATCACCGTTGCACCCACGGGTGGTGTTGGCCCCAAATTCTATACCAAGTGGGCCATGTGAAGTATCAAATGAAAGCTTATGCTCTGCTGAGCCTATGTATGCTGCTCATGTACTTGTATAATGTTGTATGTGAAGTTATGACTATGGACCCTGTTCTTGGATTGTAAATGTTCTCTGTGATAGGGAGCAATGGGCCTGGACTGCCGATTGTGAGGAATGATAGCTTAGTGAATGGCTGTGCTAATTAGCACTGCTCCATGGACAATGGCTCTTGGCAGTGGCCAATACACACCTGAGGAATGCGTCTGGAACCTGCAGACCAGCCAGTGCATAATGGCTACATGCATCAGATTCCAGATGCATCCTTGCTAGGGACAGAGAGCTTGGAAGGATTGCTGACCCATCCTGATACAGGATGTACACCAGACACTTTGATCTGAGGAAGTGGGTCTGGCCCACGAAAGCTCATCATCTAATAAACCATCTTGTTAGTCTTTAAAGTGCTACATTGTCCTGCATTTTGCCTAAGCTAGCAGTTTGCAACATCTCAGCTAAGAGCCTGCATCAAGAACTTGGTGATTGATGTATGTAATGTATGCTCCTTAATCTTACTCTCAACCTTTTCTTTCTTTTATTAATAAACCTTTAGATTTTAGATGCTAAAGGATTGGCCCAGAATGCGCTTGTAGGTAAGATCTAAAGTGTAAATTGACCTGGGACTTCGGCTGGTTCTTCCAGAATGCTCTTGTAGGTAAGATCTAAAGTGTAAATTGACCTGGGACTTCGGCTGGTTCTTTGGGACTGGGAGGATCTGTTGTAGTTGATGAGATTGGGTTTTATAACCTGTGTGTAAGGTCCGGGGCTGATTATGGCCCAGAGAAAGCTGGGAAGTCTGAGGGGTTTTGCTCATGAGGCTTCCTGCTGGCCATGTTGGCAACTGAAGTGCTCTGTGTGGCTGGTCTATGGCCTATTTGGGAAAGGTCTCCAGTCAAGGGCTGTAAGTAGCCCTGGTTTTGAGCAACTCACCCTGAGCTGATGCCCTCAGTGGTGCCCAGACCCAGCCTGGTCGGTCACAAGAAGTGCTAACTTTTGTTTTTGCCAGTGGGTGCTCTTCTCCAGCCCCTTCCCTCCCAAAAAATGGTGGGCAGGTGTTGGTGGGGGAGACACCAAGCAGGGGCCAGGTCTTGTAGTGGAGGGGTGGGTGGAGCCTCAGGGGGAAGAGGCTGAGCAGTGGGCCTTTGGGGCAGAGCACTGTGATTAATCTGGATTTTTTTTTTGAGCCCTGGAGCATCTATGGAGTCTGTTCCTATGGTGGGGACTGTATTACTAGCACCCCACATTCAGTGGGGACATGGCTGGGTGGAACTGTCTGCACACTACTCCCACTGAAGTTACAGCAAGTAGTTTATACAGTTTAGGGCTTTACCTAGAGTACCACCTTTCTCATGAAGTCTCCTATGCAGATCCTTTCAAGTGAGATCCTCAGGGCAGCCAGAGACATTCTTTAGAGCCACACTGAGAAGAAGCAGAGGGCAGGCCAATGGGGCAAAGACCTGGCTCAGAGACTTTAATGCTCCTGTGGATCCCAGCATTTGTCAAGTAGGGGGTGGATCCCATGGCTCATAATGAGCGTGTGTGTCCAACCCCATCCTAGGTAGAACAATTTCATGGGAACTCCATGAAGGCCTCTGCTGCAGGTTTTAATCTCAAATGGGACAACACAAAGCTCAAAATATTTTCTGAACAAAATGCCATTTTAAAGACGGGGAATGAAAAAAACATTGAACATCCATGGCTATGGGATTACTAATGAAAAAACAAACACATCAAAGGCCGTAACAGTTTTCCCTCTTTACATAGGGACTCCATCATCTTGTTATGCAATTACTCATTTTTAACCTGAGGGGAAAGGCCCATATTTATTCTCCAACTTGGCATAAAGCAGCTGCAGTACGTCAGACTGTTGTTTGGGAAGACACAGGCTTTGTCTAGTTTATAAAAAGATTTTGCTCATATATACTTGGAAACACTTATTTACTGAATAAATATAGATAACACTTTATTTGGTGGGTAAATGCTGATGTACAACAACATTGGATTTCTATAGAAGTACCTAACATATTAATACTAAATTCATTGATTATTGTCCATAAAACAAACAAGTGTTAACATTATTTTCAAAAGAGAAACAGATATATGTTGAATATATATGATTTCTTTATACATTTTTTTTCTATTGACTGTACAGATACACCAATTTAAGTTACTAAAACCAACCAGACATATTGTTTCCATGAAACACCTGGTTATTTAGTATCAAATGGTAAAGATTTATTTGCAGTGTAGTTTTCACAAAGACTAATCTTTCTGCTCTGAGCTTTTTAATGTGTCTATATGTATGTGTGTAAGACTCATTTAGAAGATTAGAGTTTGCCCTGAGGCCATAAGGCTCTGGAAATGCTCTGTTGAATTTCAGTAATGTCCCATCCTTACTTTTATATACATTTGTCTTGCCTTTCCAACTCAAGTACTGCCAGTTCAGAATTTCATTATAACTGGAGAAGGTTAAAAAAAAAAAAAAAAAAAAACACCACACAAACCACCACCAACTTTCCTATAGACATTTGGCAAATTGTAAATCAGGGACCCAAATGGAATCTAAATATCAGTCTGGTTTCATGAAATCTCCTAAACCAAACAGAGCAATGCGTGCATGCTAAAACCATGAATATACTCTTTAAGAAGCAGTACTGTAACTCTCAAAGGAAATAGTAAGCTGTCAGAAAAAGAATTTCAGCAGAAATACAAGAAAGACTGAATGCTTATTTATGAATCAGCTGAGTGTACAAAACATAATGCTAAATAAATTTAAGAGTTTTCTTTCAATCTCTTTCTGACCCAACCTTCTAACTTTGACACTTTTGTATATACTCCATATTTGCCTTTCCTTGCACATCCTTCACCCCAGCTGACTATACCAGTAACAAAATAAGTGTCCTTGTATTTAGTTACGTGGGGACCTCCACTGTCTCCCTGACATGCATCTTTAGTTACATTGTCATAGCCAGCACAGAACATATTTTCTGTGATCATAAAGGTACTAGATTGCTTGCATGAATTTCTGTCAATATAGGGGACTTCAAGCACTTGAAGTTTGTTGGACATGCGTCCTTGTTCAAAGAGGCGCCCAAAACCACTAACTCTTCCGGATTTTTGAGTCATCAGAATTTCATTAGCAAAGTCCACATCAGGAAGGCATGCTGGAATAACATACTTTGAAAACTTTATAGGTTCCCTTAATTTTATAAGGGCTATGTCATAATCATAAGTTGCAGAAACAAATCTACCATGCACCATTACTTTTTCCGCTGCGTATATCATTTCAGTGTTTTCTTCCTTTTCTCTGTCCACTTCCCCTGTGAAAGATCATTAAAAATATAATCATTATGAGACACAGTACAACAAATCTAAACACTTCCTTGAAAAACTAAGGGGCCAATACTCCACTGCCTTGCACCTTGTGTAGTCTTTTCTAATGTGCAATGTAGATTAACAATGCTCCCATCCTCATCTTTGAGCATGTTACATGCACTTTGGAAGGGATAGATGGCAAGTTAGGACCATCATGTTAGAATGGTGATTTGGGAGTTGAATGCAATGTTTTGTGATCAATTCCCTACAACTCGGGCCATACAGAAAAGCAATTCTCAGAAGTGTAAACAGAATTTGGCCCTTTATTAGCTACAGCATGCAAAAATAATCTGGAAACATAGTTTTTTTGAGTTTCACAATTCTTTGATGTTTTTGCTATCATAGCTAAAAAGAACATTGTTCCACATATTTCAGTGTTGGTGAGTAGGCATCACATTTCCTGGGGAATGGGATGGGTTGGAACTTTGCCCTTTCCACCCCCACTGCAGGTGGCAGGTTCAGGCTTTAGTATTCCCTGTAAGATGAGTGCTTGAGGGGCCACCCAGGAGAGATTCAAAGGCTGCCCAGCTGATTAGCAGAGCACCCACAGTGTCCACAGCCAGCAACATGTGTTTCTACTGGTGGTGCACTACTACATATGCCTTGCTGCACATCTAATTTTTTCCATCTCCAGGTGGAAGACATTTTAGGGACCATGGTTGTGTAGTAATATTTGTTGTCAGAAGGTGGTCATGGTGCAATGAAGTTGAGAACCCCAGAACTGCTCAGGGCCCATCTCTAAGGGCAGTGGATGGCTAATATAGACCAAATAGGAGTTAGTCACCAGAGGGGAACCCAGAGTTACAAGTTGAAGCAAGGTTCCCAAAAGAGCCCTGTGTGTGCTGCATCACCGTCAGGCATGAATTCCATAGCTGAGGTCTCTACCGAGAACGCCCAGCGCCCATCCCTTTCAGGGCACAGTGGCTGGGAGGTGAGACGCCCAGTTTGGATAGAAACAGACACATTAGCTAAAAGTAATATCGCAACTGCCTCAGCATGGGTTACCTACCTAAGTGCAATCCTACCCCAACCACTTGGATCTGTGCTCATGACATCACCCCAGGCAGCCACAGCTACACTGCTATTCTACTGTGCTGACTTCAGGGTGACCAAATAGCACGCGTGAAAAATCAGGACACCTTTCTTTTGGGGGTGTAAGGTTGCCCATATAAAACTAAGTCACTAATATTGGGAGGTCTAGTTCTCCCTAGCCTGAGCTGAACTACCTCCCAGTTGCTATGTAGATATGCCCTGTGATATTGGGGATCTTACCTCTCCACTGATTACAGATGAGGCAGAAGTTCATAAGGGATGAGAGTCTTTGAAAGCATTCTACCAGCTAAGTACTGTAAGGCTATGTCTAGACTTCAGGTTTCTTTCAGAAGAAGCTTCTCTGGAAGAGATCCCTTCCGAAAAAACTTCTTACGAAAGAGAGCGTCTACACTGCCAAAGTGCATCGAAAAAGCAATCTGCTTTTTCAAAAGATAGCGTCCATTCAGTGTGGACGGTATCTCGCATTTAAGCTGTGATTACTCTGGGCAGAATGGCCAGCAGGGCACATGTGCTTTTTCCGCTCCTCTCTCCCTCTTCCCCATCCACACATGCCTTTTTCTGAAAGAGCTTTTTGGGAAAAAGTCTTCTTCCTAGTAGAAAGAGGTTTACCAATGTCAGGGAAACCCCTGTGTTCTTCTGATTTTTTTCAAAAGAACGCGATTGCAGTGTGGACGTAAGTGAAGTTTTTTCGGAAAAATTGTTGTTTTTCCAAAAAAAAAAAACCCTCTGCACTGTATACATGCCCTATATGGTTTACAGGAAAAATGCAGTCTATTTAGGTGGGAGAGACAAGGCCTCCATTCTGGCTTTGGTTTAATTTCTAACTGCTGTTTTGGAATGAACTTCTGCTTTTTCTTTGGTCCTTTGAAGACTTTTGTATAGACGAATCAGTACAAAGTTTTTCAGTTTGATCAAAAAATGGCAAGGGGAGGACACTTGGAGAGTTCTAAGGTCTTGGAGATGGATTGTGCATGTGAATAGAAGATTAGACACTTCTGGGCTGGCTTTTTGAGATACACAAGCATAACTACTGTAATGATGTACTCTCTCGAGTTTTGGATCCTGTAAGTCAGAGCTCTGTACATCAGGACCAGATCTGTTGATGAATGGAGAGCCAGTGCTGGTTGCAGAGCTGCATTTTGGATTATGATTTCTGCACATATTGAATAATGAATTTCTTTATTTCAACTCAGGAAGGGTGAATCACAGCGCTTCAGCCCAGAGGTTAGACACACATGAACTACTGAGCCCTGGTCATTATCCATGAGGAATTGACCTTAATAGCCTGGAGAAAAGGGGGCCAAGCGTGGATGATAGAATAGAATCATTATAGTAATTTGGCCTCTCTCCATCATCATGTGGAGATCACCTGTCAGTCTCACCAGTGCAGTTCAGGGACGTGGCCACACTGATGCCACACTGACAGGATGCCAGCAAGAGAGAGCTGATTTCTCGCCCGTCTTTGCATTAGTCTTGACAAGGATGGAGAGGTTTGATTCTGCACATTCCTCAGGGCAGGGGCATTAATATTAAATGTTTGGTTTTGCAGAGTAATTTAGTAGATTACCTGCTCCATGAGACACAGAGCTGTGTGAGAGAGAAAAGCACTGGCTATTTTGGTTTGCAGTAGACCAAGATATTCCCTGTTGGCTTTGACAAGTTAGGAGTGACACTAATCTATGTGACACGTTTTATTTAATTCAATTTCTTCTAGTTACCCCCAGACAAACAGATATTCTGGCCTGCGTGTAAAGGCCAATATGTTAAGAATTTAGGTATTTTTATCATTTACCTAGTTAAAGAAGGATAAAAATATAAAACCAAAGAATCAAAGTTGCAATCTATGGGTATGTCTAGATTACATCCCTCTGCCGACACAGGCCTGTAAAATAGACTACCCACCATAGTCAAGGAAGCTGGGATTTAAATATCCTCGGCTTCATTAAAATAAAAATGGCTGCCGCGCTGTGCCAGCTCAGCTGATCGTCGGCACAGCATGCGAGTCAAGACGCTGATTGGTCAACAGGGGAAGCCTTCGTTGACTGCTCCTGTAAACCTTGATATTTAAATCCCAGCTTTATTGACTATGTCAGGTAGCCTATTTTACATGCCTCTGTCGGCAGAAGCATGAAATCTAGACATACCCTATGGCTACGTCTAGACTGGCCCCAAATTCCGGAAAAGGGATGCAAAGCAGGTAAGTCAGCATAGGGAAATCCGCGGGGGATTTAAATATCCCCCGCGGATTTAAATAAACATGTTCGCCGCTTTTTTCCGGGCTGGGGGAAAAGCCGGAAAAAAAGCGTCTAGACTGGCGCGATCCTCCGGAATAAAGCCCTTTTCCGGAGGATCTCTTATTCCTACTTATTCTCTTCTACAAGTAGGTTTTCCGGAATTTGGGGCCAGTCTAGACGTAGCCTATCTGTATATAGTCTGAACCCTTGTTCTTAAGCTAAGGCCTTTGGCTAAGCATCAGAGACAGCCATAAGATGGGAAATGTATAGTCACATCCTCACAGATCCCAAACCAGTCACATTGAAATAGGGCAATTTTGGGCTGTTAGGAAGGCGATTCAATCTATCACCTCCACATTAAGGGACAAACTTTGAAGATTTAAAGAAAACTTAGGATGACAGCTTTATGACTAGCAAGAACCCACTTGGGGTTGTGAAATTTTCATTTTTTTATTGTTTTGGCAGTATGGTCCTCACATCTCTATTGTTTATCCGTATGGTCTTTGTCTGGTTCTTCGATTGTTTTAGTCTGCTGTATAAGTAATTTTGCAGATTGTAAAACAATTAAGGCCAGGGGATATAGTTGATTAGATAATCATGATACAATATGTTAGGATTGGTTAGTTAAATTTCTGTAAAATGATTGGTGAAGGTACAGATGAGAATATTATCACATAATAAAAGAAACAGGAAGAAAGTTAGGAAAAAAGGTGGGGGGGAAGAAAAACTGAATCCATGCTTGCTGCAAGCTAATCCCATTCGACATCAGATTGTTTGGGGGAGGGGGAAGGAAAACTGAATCCATGCTTGCTGCGAGCTAATCCCATTCGACATCAGATTGTTTGCATCTTCAGACTTCAGGTATTGCTGTTCTCTGTTCACACAAGAACCACCAGGGAAGTGGGAGGGCAAAGGGATAAGCCCCCTAAAAAGTAGGTTTTATTTCATTCGTTTTCTTCTTGTTACCACCAGACAACTTGCTCTCCAGCTTAGGTAAAGCCAACTTCATTTCCAGCTGAGAATAGTATCCTTACTTCCTTAAGGGTGACACTGGGGAAGAATGTGAAGCATTCTTTTCCCAAGGATTGACATATTGTAGTCAAAGGACTATGGGCCCTATTGTCCCAGTACAAAGCAATTAGATCCTGCCTCAAATTTATCATCTATATAGGGTAACTGAAATCATCAGAACATTAAATTTCTGTAAAACGATTGGTGAAGGTACAGCTGAGAATATTTCAGAGCCTCTGGCTGGTAAAGAGGGAGAGGTTTCTGAAAAGGCAATATTCTTTGTATCGTGTGGAGAGAAAGGAAAGGCAATATTGCTAGAACTAATGCTCTTTATCATTTCCACATAGTTCATCAATTGCAAAAACACTGATGCCAGCTACAAAATGAATCATTCATTTCAGTACCAGTCCAGAGAGAAATTGATGCAGTCAGGATAGCTGACAAGACTATTTTAAAAGCTGAGGAATGAGACAGAAGGCATCTCACATATGGAGATTAGAGGTCAGATTGTAATTAATGGCGGTTCCTATGGAAAAAAGGATAAAATAATAATAGCTACTTACCAACAATAACTTTAATTATTTTAGATTGGTTTATGCAGTGAGCTGCAGTAAGTATAAAAAACTGGTTCAGAATTGTCCCTCCACAAAACCCTTCCTCCTTTTCATTTAGTAGAAGAGCCTGTAATGAGAGAAAATGGATCTCACAAAAATAAGAGTTCAGAAATAGCGGGTTAAAATTAAGCAATGTTTCCTTAACCAGGAATAGCTTTTTACATACTGTACATATATACATATAACTATAGTACCTCCCAGTGTGTGTATATGCAGTTGTATCTGTCCCGTACCAGTATATATACCCCTGCTAGCCTTCAAACCATGCTCCCATCTTCTCCAGGCCACCATCAGAAGCAAGCGCCCGACAGACCAGGACATATCAACTCAAACTGGCACCAGACCCTGCCAGAACAATATTCCCACCCCCTCCCTGCCCCACAGCAGCCTATCTTTCAAATTGCAAGAGCCCTCCACGTGCCTATCACAACATGTAGCATTACCCCACTGAATACGCTAAATGCAACAACAGTGTGGAGGAAATCAGACAATCATTGCTCTCCTGAATGAACTCCCACAGTAAAAGGATAAAAGATAAAAACACCATCTCACCTGTGAGTGAGCACTTTTCATAAGGCAGTCACTCTGTATTGCACCTATCAGTCCTCATGCTCAAAAGAAAGCTGCACGACACTTTTAAAAGATGAGCCTGAGAGCTGAAATTTTAAACTCTCCTAGACTCTAAAAATCATGGACTGAGCAGATTTATGGTTTGTTATAATAATCCATAACCCACTAACCACCAATTCTCTGCTTTCATCCCAAATGTTTTTGTTCTTTTCCTCCTCTGGCCGCATCTCTAATTACCCAGAAGTTTGAATCAAGATAAGCAAATCCATCTACATTAATTGTGTAGCTGGAATGAACATACCTTGATTGAAACTTTGGTGCCATCCCCATAGCGGGAGGTTGATGGGAGAAATGCTCCCATCAACTTCCATTCCTCCTTGCAAGGAGTAGGAGTACTGGCACCAATGGCATTCGATTTATTGGGTCATTACTAGACCCGCTGAATCCAACACCAGAAGATCAATCTCCAAAGCGTCGATATGCAGGTAAGTATAGACGTGGCCTTGAAATGTGTGTTAAGTATTTAAAAGGTGGAACAAAATGTTTGGCATTTTTCATGGTGACTCTTGGAGTATGTTTCCTGAACAAGAGCTCTGTCTAAGTTTGAAAGCTTGTCTCTCTCACCAAAAGAAATTGACACAGTAAAAAAATATGACCTCAGCCACCTTGTTTTCTGATACTCTGGGACCAACAAAGCTCATCTTTCCAATGCAAGATATAAAATTTACATAGTTACCTGCCATGGACATTCACCAGGCAAACAGTCTTTACCACCTACTATCCTCACATTAGGATTTGGAGATATTTTAGGATCATTTTCTGTTTTGTTGGGAGCTTTTATTTCATTCTGAAGGTGAACATCTGGGCTGGCTGTAGTATTGGCGATGTCCTTGTGGCTTGTCTCTTTATTCTTAGATAGTTCATTGGGTTTGCCATCTTGCTCATTGGTAACACTGCTGTGGTTACCAAATGAAATCACTGACCTCTTTTTTCTTTTCAAATAAACTTTCCCACATGGGAATGGCTCTGCAAGAACAACAAAGAAAAGTTAATTTTTGATGTAGTAACAATACGGTAACTTTAGACATTTAAATATTCATTAATTAGTTCCCTCATGACAACTAAGCTGAGTCAGATTTTCATGGTGACTAAGTGACTTTGCAAATGTTCAAATGTTGTTTTCTTGAGATTTTCATGGTGACTAAGTACAACATGTGACTTTGCAAATGTTCAAATGTTGTTTTCTTTATAAGAAAAAAGAAAAGTTCAAGTACTTTTACTGATGTTTGTTTTTCAAACCTGAACATACAATTTCAGTGCACCTTTTTTAACTTTTCAGAAGCTCAGTATTCATAAGAAACCCGCCACAAAACAAACGTGTGCCTAGAACAGTGGAAAATAATTTGCACGGAAATAGATGTCACTTTCAAGTGTTTCAAATGTTTGTATAAATAATAGAAGAGAAAACATCCTGTACAAATAACAAAAAATAATGTAACAATGTCCATTTACAGCTGAATTATTTACCCAGTTATCTTCACAATAGCAGGTTCCAAGAAATGTTTTCAGACAAACCAGAGGCTTGACAGACACTACAAAGCCTAAGACCAGAATAGACCAAAACCAACATGTCTGCAGTCCTAAGGATTGTCCAAAAGTACTCGCTTTTATGCATAGGGCTCAATTTGTAGAGAGAGAATGCTGAGCAAGCAATATCACTGAAACAATATTTTCAAAATATTTAAAACAAAATGTTTTCACGGTTACAAAAATGAGTCTCTGAGTGAAGTGTTAGAGTTTATAACTCATGCGACTCCTTCAAACTTTTAACAATGGCAATTATTTATACTGATTAAATACATTATTTTTTAACTTAAGATTCATAACACTTGGGGAATGCCATCCTTGAGTATTTTGAGTAGTGGTGTGTGAGGTGATCTCTGTAGAAGAGAGCATGTTGTAAAGCAAGCCCCACAAGCCTTCCCCTTACTGACAACTACCCTTGCAAGACATGCAACTGTATTTTCAATTCCTTGATTGGCCTTGTTTTCCCACATGAGAAGCAATAAAAGCAAACCAACCCAGAACTCAGGTCAGTACTAGCTGAACTCTCATTGGTCAAAGCACTGAGGGAACCCATTATCAACGTATTGCTTCATACCTGTTGGAATACACGATTTCTCGTCCGCTCCCAGAACATAGCCAGTGGCACAGGAGCACACAACACCATTTTTGACAGGTTTGCAGAAATGGTCACAATCGCCATTAGTCAGCTTGCAGTATTTGGGTATAACTGCACAAGAGGCACATTTGTGTGAAAATGACAAAAGAAATGGCAATGTTATAAAGGCACATGCAGCTGATAATGCTTGTAAACCTGGGCTAGAGCCTTCATCTTTTTGTTTGCAATGTTTCAAACATGCTTCTGGCAAATGCATCATTAACTTATTTATTCCTCATGTTGGGAGAGTGCTCAAAATATACTAGACACTTTAAAAAAACACAGATGAAAACAGAAGTCCCTGCTCCAAAGAGTGGATAGTTTAAAAAGGGAAAGGCAAACAAATAGTGGGGAAAGTAGTATAACATATAAGCAATGAGATTGGGTGATGGTAGACATGCATTTTGTCCTTCCCTCCCTTGCTTTCTATGTAATTCATAAACCCTCATTGTTGTCGCTAAACCAATTCCTGACCTCAATTCCAATAGCTTTCACCCTTCTCTCCCAGCATTTGATGAAAATTAGCCATTCACTCACAAGATAAATAAATAGCTTTCGCCATTAGGCTATGTCTACACTATATCCTATGATGGCAAAACTTACGTTGCCATAGGTATGAATATTCCACCCATGAATGACATAAGTTACACTGACATAAGCATTCATGTGCACAGTACTATGTTGACAGGAGAACTTCTCCCTTATCCCTTTGCAAAGACCTGGTGGCTTAAAGGCTTACTGCACTGGTGGCGGATATTGTTGGTTTCAGACCTGTCAAAACGCTCCATCCCAAAATTCTAACTTTTTATTCCTTAACTTTTAGGAACTCGAAAACTATTGTCTACTCCACAAACACTTACCAGTGTCACAGTTTTTGCCCTGGTATCCTTCCAAGCATAAGCAAGTGTACATGCCAATTCCATCTTTACATGTTCCACCATAACGACAAGGGTTGGGCTTGCACTGGTCCCCATCTACAAAAAGAAGCAGTGGCAGCTTTTAAAACACATTACACATTTTCACTGAGATTTGAAGTATTCCTGGATGGTGAATTTTGTGTCTATCTTTTTTTGCTATTTGTATTTAAAATGTTAGCTCAATATAACCCCATGAAATATAATTCTGCATTTCCCAAAGGGCCCTAGATCAACAGAAAAAAATGACATGCAGAATACATACCGTTTAACATCATGCACTAGCCTCATTGCCATTACATGATTTTCCTGGCAACTGTCAAATACAATAAAAAAATTCTGGCTGGGTGGTAACCCTATTTTAGGGATAAGGAAGGTCAGGTGCTTCTTTGGACTCATGTAGTAGACCCTTAGAATTGGCCAGGGGAGGTCTGACTGAGTGAAGCAAGGAGAGAAGTGATGGGATACTCCTGGCAGCTGATGAAGGATGCCACAGGGCTCCTTTCTGAAGCAATGGTAAGTAGTTTGGAGAACCTGAAATTCCAGACCTAAGCAAAAGGGTTGATTTGCTGCTGAATTCCTGTGTACTGGACTCCATGGTCCCGGTTTAATAAATCACTAAATCAGTAATGCTCATCGTGCAAATACTATTGCAAACCAAAACCTCTAGAGGTCACATAGCTGTGCTGTTTACTTATCAGCCAACAATTTGTTTTTATGAAGTGTGTTTCTCTCAGTTGCCACATTATGTTGCAATATATATTCTCTGAAGGTTAAGAACAAAATATAATTCAAAGTATTGCTTACCTACATATTTATTCCAGAATTCTTCCTAATGGGGAAGAACAATAGGTAGAGATTAATGAATCAAACTCCAAAGCAGAAGCTGTCATATCCATATACTAAAGATAGTTTTGTTGAAAGACGCAGTTTAAGTAGAACTTCTTAAATTAGATGTAAATACAGGCCTTTACAGTGCAGTGTTAAACCACCACGAAGACTAGACATTTTTGTATCAATGAAAGTTGAGCTATCAGCTAATAACCTGATCCCTTGGCTTTAAGGAAAAAACCACCAGATATAGTAAGATTAGCAATGCTGCAATCTATGGTGTGAGAATAGGGCCCTTGTGATGGTTTGTCTCTCAAACAGCTATGTTCCTATATTAAGCTAAACCTGAAAGAAGACAAAGTGCTGTTTTTCCTCTCTCTTTCTCTCTCTCGGCCAATTTTCTTGGTTAACTATATAGCTATGATCACCTACTGCATTTTGTAGCTATGCATCACAGCTGAGCTAACATTTCTGTTGGAGTCTTAATTAATCCACTTACTAATATTTTGAGAATTTAACAGTGTGATCCTAACAATACTTTAACAGACCTTGCTGCCTTAGAAGAACAATGGTTATAAGAAGTGAACGTATGTGACTTCATGGAAGTTATTTGAATACTGTTGTAGAAGAACAGGGCTCTGATGCTCAAATTACAAAGAAACAATCCATACTCAGGTTGCGCATTTAACCTGAAGATTCTACACCCCATTCTCAGTCCATAACCCAAAGCATATCACACTTTGCCTTCCAAACATGTTGTGTTCCCTTCTCTAGATAACCCAAACCCCTGAAGTCTCCTGGTTTTCATCTCTTCGTCCCTCTCCTTAATGCCCACATCTCTTTCCTGCTCCTTTGCCTCTCTCACTCCTGGCCTCCTACTTCTCCTTTGGTTGGCTCAGTCTTCTTCCTGATGCCAAGACACAGGCCAAGGCTGGAGCTGTGTCTATAGTACAAAGAAAAGGTGGAAAAAGATATGCAAATTGCTAACCTCAATTTGCCTATCTTTTTCCACTTTTCTTCCAAAAGAGGGTTTTCCAACATTTGGTCTGTCTACATGGGACCAAGTGTTGGAAAAAACCCTCTTTCTGAACATTCCTTGTGCCTCGTAAAACGGGGTTTATAGGGATGCCAAAATACCACATCTGCTTTTCCAAAAAAAATTTCAGAAAAGCAGATGTGTTTCCTGGATGCAGCAGAGCTTTTCCAGAGTATCCCAGAAAAGCTCTGTAGTCTAGATATACCCTGGGACTCTGTGTCCACTGACTCTAAAATGAGCATTGGGCCACACTTCCTCTCTGATGAGGAAGGTGATATGAACTCTTCAAGGCCAGACAAGTAGATAGGGTTGCGGACGGTCTAACAGCACAAACCCAAACACACATGCCCACAGCCATGCCCCTCTCTTGAAGCCTTGCCTCTGCCCCACTCCTCCTCTGAGGCACTGCCCCCTACTGGCTATCCCCCACCTTCACTCACTTTCACTAAGCTGGAGCACAGGGGAGCGTGAACTCTAGGCTAAGGGTGGGGCCAAGGGGTTTGGAGTGTCAGAGAGGGCTCTGGGCTGAACTTGGGACAGAGGGTCAAGATGCATGAGGGGAGTGAAGGGTGTGGGCTTCAACTGCGAGGAGCTTACCTCAGGTGGTTCCCAGGGAGTGACTGGAATGTCTGGCTCTGAGGCTCAGAGGTGGCATGACAGAAATGTGCATTGCCCTTGTTTGCAGGCACCATCCCTGCAGCTGCCATTGGCTGTGGTTCCTGGCCTCCTGTGCATAGGAGCCAGACATGCCTGCCACTTTCAGGAATGGTGCGGAGTCAGGGCTAAGGCAAGGAGCCGGTGTTAACCCCACTGTGCTGCCAGACTTTCAGTGGCCTAAAATCTCCCAGATTGGCTTCAATAGCCTCCAGTAGATCCAGCCTGATTCCATCCTACCCCTTGCCAAGCCCAGAAGAGTTGGCAACCCTATGGGTAGATAAATAGGAGTACATTCTTCAAAGCCCTTCAAAGTTAATAGACCACCTCTTTCCCACCCACTCTTCTTCAAGACCTAAGGGGATGCTTTGCTTTTGTACAAGCGGAAAGCCAGCATGAGTGTCAGGGTATCACCTAAGGACATTGAAAGGGGGCCGTCACCCAGAATAATCGGTCCATAGTTAGCCATCAAAATAAGTTAGAGCTACACAGCGGCAGCTTTAACTTACACCACAGACACAAACTCCAAGTGAACTAATGAATCCGGTCCTTAAATATACCAGAAAAAACAGGCACCTTGAGCTAAGTTGGATTAATGTCTCAAGAACTTTACCCTGGGCAGTGGTTGCCATTGCAATCAGCCTCCTTGTGCTCTCTCTCCATCTCATTTCCAGTGTCATCTGAAAACATATGTAATCACCCCGCCTATACTTTCTTATACAGAAAGGAGTGTGATTGAACCCAAGCGGCGCTCAGGAGCAGTTGAGATTCTGTCCTTTAGTTATTTCACCTGAACAGCGTTAGAAATGCTCCAAGTCACGTAACTGCGTCAACTAAACAGATCAGAACCAGGTAAACCGAACAGGAGGATTTAGCATGGTCTGATCAGACAGGGCCTGTACTGGGACTGGATGCTTTTTCAGATGTTGTATATTTCCCTGGGCTCCTCCAGTGTGACAAAAGCAAATTTTGCCATCCCGCCCACTTCTAACAGTTAAAACAGAAAGCACTTGGAATCTCTCTGTGGGGTTCATGTTCAAAAGTGGTTAGTTATTTTTTGGGGGCAAAACCTGAAACACCTCACAAGGGCTTTCAACTGTGGATGATGAAGGCCTAGTTATTTTATGCTGATTTGTCCTTACGGTTTTCTGTGTGTCTTCAAATGCTTCTCTGGCTTCCTCTTTTGAGCAGCGTTCCTCCCAACATTCTCTTTCAATATCCCCTTTCTTTAGCTCCTCAAGAAAGGAATTAGCACGCTTTATTCTTCCCAAAAACTTGTTCGCATTTTCTTCCTGTAAAAACACTAAATGGAAAGGAAATGGCATGTGTCATTTTAAAACTGATGTCAAAGAACTTCATACGATAGAATTCGATAAGTGCACTAAAAAAAAAATCACAACAAACAACCCTAATCTATTTCTAGGCACCATTACCCCAAGCAGAATAAAAGATTCTGGCCCATATCTATGTATCAACTCCTGCTGCTGAAAAGTACATCCCAGTATTCCTCAGAATAGTCTGTTCAAATGGTAATCCCTTGACAGTGTGTCCCTGGACCCTGAAATTCTGTCTTGCTTCACTTGGTCTTGAAAATAAGAAAATGCAAATTGCTGCTCAGGTTTTGCCTCTTAATTCCCTGCGCTAACTCCAAATAATGTATCTCAAACTCCCACCGGGACTGCAAGACCCAAGCTAGGTTTCCCACGCAGTGATTCCTCCTGGTTGCCATGGACTGCTATGGCATGGACAGGCAGGTAGATCATGTTGGACTGCTCTGCTCTGAAACCCAGTGAGCAGGTAGCAGCAGAGGCTGCTTCAAGGGCTCATTGACCAGCAAGTGGAAGGGAAAGGGACTCAAGGGGGAACAAAGTTGTAAGACAGGGATTCAAGGAGATCATGGGTAAGACTATTCCAGGAGCCACGCCTTTCCCCCAACATTTCTAGGCTCCCATTCCCCCCAACTTTCAAAATGTCTTGTGCTGCCCCTAGTTTTCCTTTCAGCCTCAATAACACTCCCCCCGCTCTGGCTTCTCTCATTGAAACAGGTCCAGGCAAGATGATTGTAATTGCAGCCTAGTATTTAATTAACAGCGGCTACACAGAAATATTGGGCCAGTGGCAGCTCATTTGCTTTAATAAGAATAGTGATGATTAATGATGATTAAAAACTTGAGCACTGCAGCCCCATGGGTTGAAAGGCTGGCTGGTATTGAATTGCATTGGAGGAGCAATTCCAGCAGGTCCAGCTCAGACATTTCCATGCATGTGCGGTATCATTACTTCCAGCAGGGGGCAGCGATACATACACATACTTCAATATATATATTACCAGTGTCAAAAATCCCACCATGCAGGAATAAATACTGAGGATACTAGTTGTCACCAGTTACCGGGCTGTAAACACTGGCATGCTGGTGGGTTTCAATAACCATATTGAACTCAGTGTTCATCACACAGCCAGGGTATGTCTACACTACCACCCTCGTTCGAACTAGGGTGGTTAATGTAGTCATACAAACTTGCAAATGAAGCCCGGGATTTGAATTTCCCGGGCTTCATTTGCATGTTGCCGGGCGCCGCCATTTTTAAATGTCCACTTGTGCGGACTCCGTGCCCGCGGCTACATGCGGCACGAACTAGATAGTTCGGAATAGGAAGCCTAATCCGAACTATCTATCTAGTTCGTGCTGCATGTAGCCGTGGGCATGGAGTCTGCACTAGCGGACATTTAAAAATGGTGGCGCCCGGCAACATGCACATGAAGCCCGGGAAATCCAAATCCCGGGCTTCATTTGCAAGTTCGTATGACTACATTAACCACCCTAGTTCGAACTAGGGTGGTAGTGTAGACATACCCCAAGTCAATGACAGATCTGAAGCTAGAACCCACATCGAAAAGCCTGACACCCTATGCAGTGGGCCATTCAGCCTTCCTTGGCATAGAACATGCAGTTCCTGGACTGTTTTGTTGTACATCTGATTCTTATAAATGTACTGGTGATTCCTATTAACTATGTGCTTTAATTTCCCTTAGTCTCGCCTTCTCTATCAAAAAAAAAAACTTTTTCTTGTGGGACAACAGAGTGACACCATCACATCACTCTGCATCTACAGGAACAAGCCCCACCCACTCCCAGCCTGGGCGCGGCGGCCCTGGCCCGGCTGGTCCTCCCTTGCCCTCCCCAGCAGCTGGGGAAGAGCCCTAGCTGCTGTAGCCGGCTCAGCCCTGGCCTTCCTCCGGCAGCTGAGAGATGGCAGCCTGTGCCGCCTTGTCCTGGTCCTCCTCTGGCCAAGAGACTGTGGCCTGCGGCAGGGCCGGGGTGGGGTGCTGAGAGGCCTGGGCTGGCTGCAGCTAGGGATGGGGGCCTAGAAGCTGGGCTTACCATGGCCCTGTCCCTCCTCTGCCTGGTGGCTAGCAGGAGAGCTGGGCTGACCTACCCCCAGACACAGGGGGATTGTTGAGCATAGTGAGCAGAGCCCACTAGTGCTCATAAAGATTGTTAAAAGGCAGGAGAAAAATTGTTCTCTCTAACTTCTGAGGATAGGACAAGAAGCCATGGGCTTAAATTGTAGCAAGGAAGGTTTAAGTTGAACATTAGAAAAACTTCCTAACTGTCAGGGTGGTTAAGCATTTGTCCAGGGAGGTTGTAGAATTTCCATCACTGAAGATTTCAAAGAGCAGGTTAACAAACACCTGTCAGGGATGGTCTAGAATAGGGGTGGGAAAATACCGGCCTGTGGGCCACATCCAGTCCACCAGAGTTTGTTCCTGATGGGTTCCCACTGCTATATTTACCTGCACAGCCACAGCTACTGGCAACTGCAGCTCCCATTGGCTGCAGATTGCCATTCCCAACCAATGGGAGCTGTGGGAAGTAGTGTTCCGATCAGTGCGCTGTGATTGCCAGTACTTGAGGAGGTGCAGGTAAATATAGTGGTGGCGACCCTCCAGAGGCTAATCATGGTGAACTGCTGCTGTGTTATTGCAGGGATGTGAACTATATGACCTCTTGAGGTCCCTTCCACTTCTACAATTCTATGAATTTGATTTGACACACTGTTTTGTTTTCAGTGGAAATGGCTGGATCAGCCCCAAGGGCCAAATTCTGCCAGCATTACTCACATTGAGTAGTCCCTTACTTCCCACTGATTTCAACGGGCCAACAATCAGGATGAGGTCTAACTCTTTGTAAATGTTAACTGCGAGTGACTAGCTAAATGATTTACAGCTCATAGTTTACTCACTATCTTGCTTGTCCTTACATTTTCCTGCTCTGTCATTGCAAAGAAGTGACAGGATGCAGATGTGGTTTTAATCTCTCAATATCTTTGCCTTGCCATTAGTATTATGGCTAGGAAGGGAGTATACATGACTTAGCCTGATCTGTCTGTCAGGCTGATCTCTTGCTTCCCTAAATATTCCTGGCTCAAAATGCAGCAAGCTATAGGATGCTTGCCTGGTAAATCGGAACAGTAGAGAAACACGTGAAGAATTTATTTTTGAGACTAAATGGGCTTGCAAAGAAATTGCTCCAGGGGAGAATCTTTGGAGGATGATTTTGCACTTGGAAATGTTGGGTAGTTGTTTAAGCATAATTGCTGTCTCTAACAAGCCAAAACACAAAGTCACAGAGGGCATGAAGAATGGATAAAGAAAAAAACAAACTGCTGGGTCTCTAAGATTCACAGGATGGCCTCCTGTCCACAGGATCTGAGCATCTCCGTTGTTAAGGTATTTGCCCTGTGTGGCAGTGTTATTTTGTCCACTTTACAGTCCAGGAACTAAGGCACAAAGTGACTGAATGACTTACACAAGCTCACACATGGAGCCTATGACAAGGAAGGGAATGGAATCCGTGGCTTCTGGACCCCCAGACTAGCTCCCTCTGGCTTAATTTTCTTTATGAAACTGTCCACCTACCGGACATCTTGTTCCAAGGATTCTGCAGAGAATGTACATTACTTACAAGATGATCCGGTAAATTTGGGGATATGAGCAGTTTGGCACGAGCCCCTTTTTAAATTAAAATATCTATGACAGCAAACACAAAACCCTGAAATGTCTGTCTCTTCTTGCTCTCCCCTACTCTCATACAGCTCTTTAGTCCCTTTCCTTCTCTCCTCCCCTCACTCTCCATTTTGGTTTTTGTCTCTCCTTTCCCTGTATTGTTCTCTCTGACAAGCTTATCTGCCTCTCTTCAGATTCCTTTTCACAGGCTTTGAAGAAAGGGGCTGTGGAGGGTAGGGGGAGACTTCCCTTCCTACTGACTAGAGCTACATTTCATTTCTTCTAATTCTTTGGTTTCCTTCTCCACTTTCCCATGTACAACCCTCCACACCCAGACTGGAGGGGATTTTCTCATTCCCTTTTATGTCTCCATTCCCCCTTCCTAAGGACTTATGATGAAGGGGGCTTCCCCACCCCCCACTAGCTTCTGGGTGAAGGGTAGTTTTTCTCCAAGGTGGGAGGGGTTGTTTTCAGACTTCCTCATCTCTGTGTGAAGACATTTCCTCTCTTTTTCCTCCACAGAGGCAGGTTGTATCTCCAGGTACTGCTCATGCCCCACCCTTATTTTCACACTTTGACTGGGAAAATTGAAAGTATGGACATGACATTAAAACCCCAGGCAAACCAGTTCACAGAGACCAGTGACACACATACTGCATGTGTGCTTGAGATACTCAAGCGCGGGGGACTCCTTTTGTCTTACTCTGCTCCTTTTCTGCCACGTAAGAGATTATTTCTCACATAAAACCCCAAACAAGCTTGACAGGGGAAAAATAAATAAATCAAGATTCTCTTACCATTTCCTTCAGCTCGCAGGAGACCTGCTAGGGAAGTGGAAAGCAGTATGAGGAACATCTGGTCAGCCATAACACGCATCTGGAAGAGTTTTCACTCTCTCTCCCCACACTGCAGGGCTGTCACTGACCAAGGTTTACTCAATAGCAGACTTCCTGTTATGTGCTTCGCTGTGCTGTACTTCTTATCACAACAAATAGTGATCGTGCATCTTCGGAAATGGGTTTGTCCAACTCAACGTGCTGATTGGATGGCTGGGCCTTTCTTGGATATGTCACAGCCAGAAATGAATTAAAGAATCTGGAGGCCCAATCCCAGGAAAAATTAAATGTTCTCTTTCTGTTTACCTCTGGCCCTGACATACAGGAAGCAGGAAAACTGACTGTATTTATGGCAATAAGCACAGATAGATTTCCATGCCAGAATTTAGGAATACGAAAGGGAAGGAAATCTTCCCTGAAGAATTTTTATAGGAAATATTGCATTTTCAAACTAAATTGAAAGCAAGTCCTGCCGGGTCTTAATAGCGTGCATTGCAGGGTGTTCGTTCACTAATTAGCATGTTAACTATTCCAAAGTTCATGCACAAAGCCTAGGATCTGAGATGTTGCATTTCTCTTGGTCAGACAGGGTCAGATGAATCACTGTTGCAACTAATGCTCTAATCTGCACTTCTGCTCAATTAAATGCTCTGGAGCAAGTTATGCAGAGGAAGAGCTAGGGTTGCTAGAAAGTGGAGGTTTTGAAAGCTGTCTATTTCACTCAGGCAACTTGTAAAACCTTTCTATATTTAATAAAAGCTTAATATTTTGGAAAGAAAGCTAATTGGGTGCTTGGTGATTTTTCAGTATAAGAAGAGTGACAGGGCAAGTTAGAGGACTAGACGAGAAAGAGGGTTACTTCAGGGAAGCCAGGAGCAGCTACCCTGAGGCTATTAAGGGCAGAATGGAAGCAGCTGGAATGGGGCTGCTATAAATCAATCAAGGGCCAGGTGATTTGACTTCAGGCAGCCACAGGAAGCCTTTTTTAAAAGGGAGAGAGTGTGGAGGTAGAGAGGAACTTGTAACTGATAAGGAGCATCAGAGAAGCTGAGGAAGTCAACATCAGCATTGCCAGAGACCACAGGCAGAAGGTGAAGGGTTCTGACAGGAAGTGTTTGGGTTCCCTTCCCCCAGTAGCCTGAAATTCCAGCTGGTAGCCCAGCCCAGACTGACCATGGGGCATTTGCCCCACACTCTTTTAGCAGGAGAATTGAAGCCTAATCCCAACAAGGATAGGTGTCCACAAGACCTAGATTGTGTGATAGGGGAATGACCAGGAGTTTGGGACCCAGGAGTGAGACTGACCCTTCCACATAAGACAAAGCTTTTATTGACAGATTATAAATAAGCTAGAGAAGGAAAGGACCGATTACTAAGCAAACTGAATAAAAATTACCAGGATAGCAACAGTATAGGACATATGCAGCTATCTGAAAAAGGATAAATATTTACAGCTAATCCACAGTTGGATGGTTTTGTTTAACAGGCCACTGTTATCCATGCTAGTTGCAAGAGGTGTACAGAGGTAGGTATGTCTATGTTGGATCCAATGCTCCCACTGCCTGGGCCATGCAGTAGAGGTAAAAGTGCCCCCTCATCTCTTGGTCCAGTGGGGAGGAAGGCTGAAGATCTCAATTCCCTGACTCCTGTAAAGTCTAGAAATTGACCTGCTTCTGAAACACACTCAGGTGTTCTCCCAGTTACCTTTAGTAGTTTTCAGTTGCTTTCTGCTCCCTTGTCTTCTGACATCTTCAGGGTGAAGGACTGGAACCAGATGATCCATTTTCAACAACTTCAGTATTTGGGGCCAGGAGAGTGGCAGGCAGATCTATTGCCCTATCTTTCAATCCAGACAAGGATTTTTTTTTAAGGCTGAGGCCTTCCTTCTGTTCTCCAGCACCAGGAGTGGGAGTACTGCAGCCACTTATTAATGCTAAGACCCCCTCCAGATCATGTTAACCCTCCAGGAAATCCCAGCACTTAGCTGTGCAAGATTGTTTTACACTTACTTAATTATATAGACTTTTGTCTAGCCAAGCTTTAAATATCACAAGGAATGGGGTTTCCACTGCAGGCCTTAGGGTATGTCTACACTACAAAGTTAATTTGAACTAACAGACGTTCGTTCAAATTAACTTCAATAGGTGGTACACATACAAACTGCTAGTTAATTCGAACTAGCGGAGCGCTTAATTCGAATGAGGTAAACCTCATTCTACGAGGACTAACGCCTAGTTCGAATTAAGTAGTTCAAATTAAGGGCTGTGTAGCCACTTAATTCGAACTAGTGGGAGGCTAGCCCTCCCCAGCTTGCCCTGGTGGCCACTCTGGGCACCACCAGGGAAATTTGTGTGCCCCCCCTCCCAGCCCTGGAGCCCTTAAAGGGGCACGGTCTGGCTACGGTGCTCATGCCAGGTGCAAGCCTGCCAGCACCCAGCCAGCAGACCCTGCACCTGGCACGGCACAAACCAGCCACCCACTGCCCCCCAGCC